CTGTACTTTCGTACGCTTTTGATCCCAATAAGCTACAATTTTTTGTTTATACCGTGCACCGTCGCAAACTCGAACCATTATTTTTCAATCAATTGTTTTGCATCCGAAGGAGATGTCTGCAGATCTTTTGTGATTTCTCCGCCCTGACTTTTTGTTTATGCTCGACCGCACATTGCGAGAAAAGTGCTTGATTTCTGCGTGATCTTTTTCTTTCGAGACGCGTTACTTATTCGTACGACTTCGTCAAAGTAAACAATAATTAATCTTTTCGCATTGAAATTATTGGTCAATTATGGCGACGATAAGTCCTGAAAAAGCTGCTCAAGTTGTAGCGTTAATTGAAGATGGGAGAAGTCGAAGGTACGTTGCTGAGGCACTTGATTTATCAGTGTCAACCGTGCAACGTGCTTATGCTAGGTACTTGGAGACTAATTCTGTCCAAAGAAGACCTGGTTCGGGACGTCCTCGTTGTACGAATGAAAACGATGACCGATTTATTGTTTTAAATTCATTAAGAGACAGACATCGAACGGCTGTTCAAATTCGAAACAATTTAAGAGATGTCCGCGAATGTAATGTATCCGTTGACACTATTCGAAACAGATTAGCGGAACACGGTCTTTTTCCGCGCAGGCCAGCAAATGTACCTTCGCTTATGCGTCGCCATCGCGTAACTCGACTCAATTTTGCTGTCGAGCATGCAGGCTGGACATATGCAGAATGGAGTACCGTTCTTTTTAGCGACGAATCTCGTTTTTGTCTGTATTCTTCAGACGGACGAGAACGAGTATACCGTCGCGTTGGAGAACGATTTGCAGACTGTACTGTAAGTGAGAGGCCTAGAAGTAAGAATCTGCCTTTTTCTTCAAATGCGAATCTCTCGGCGAAAAATCATCGTATCGAGATGCATAAAAAAGCATTTTAAAGAGGAGACTCTGTACTTTCGTACGCTTTTGATTCCAATAAGCTACAATTTTTGTTTATACCGTGCACCGTCGCAAACTCGAACCATTATTTTTCAATTTTGCATGCTCGCGCTTTGTCATCCGCCATTTTCAATAAATTTATTTTGCAACATTGAAATAAATTGATTCTTAAAGTAGAGATTTTTAGCTTCATTTCCATATTTTATAGAACTTTCTATCTTTATTATTTACGAAGTTATCGTCAGTTGAAATTTGATGAATTTTTCCCACATTTTCAGTGTACCGCTTTTTTTTCGGGTGAGTGTAGTTTCCTTAATACAAGACAAAAACTAACATATAATATCAAGCATATATATTATAATAATAAGAAATATACATACAGTAATGTATTAGTAAATTGAAGAAATAAGTATATAAATGAGAATTTTGTAATTTTACAAAAAAGAGATGTGTAATTTATAAATATTCTTTTTGAATCTCTTTAATAATCTTTCGATTGCTTACATTTTCAAAGTGGGTTTTCCTAATCAACAAATTGTGTCAACGTTCAAACCGCTAGTGTAACCTCTTGATTGTAAGCTATACACTTTTCCGGAAATAGATTCTGTTCGCACGAGGCTTCAATTATGACGAGTGAATGTCTGATTTTGTAATTGCAACGGTTACATGCTAATGACATTCTGACACACTCTGCCGGCGCGTACACGGGTTGCTATA